TTGGGACGGCAGGGCTGGGCGCTGACCCGCCCGCCCGCCGGCCAACCCCCGCGGCGGGAGTGGCGACTCACCCTCCGCTGTCAAGACGCCCGGGACTCTCGCGTTCGCTGGTGGCCCCGCCGGGTCGCCGCGCCTCCTCGTCTTCCTCCAACCCCAAGCGGGCAATCCGCGCGCTTCCCCACTTCTCCGTTAAGTTATAGGGAGAGCGCGGCCCTCGGCGGGCACTAGGGGGCGCCCTCGGCGCCGCCTTCTCCCCCTCCTCTCGCGGCATCCTCCAAAGAAGGATTTGTTGCTGGGGGCCAAGGAACAGCTCCCAAGGCCAAGTCCCCGCCCTGCGCAAAGGAGAGCTGGGCCGGCAGCTGGTCGGCAAGTCCGCCGCGGGAAGGGAAGGCGGGGGGGTGGTGGACACCCTTTCCGGGCTTAATCGACGGCCACGGGCAGTCAACCTCCGCGATCGAGGCGAGAGTTCCCGTCGCTGGCCATCCCTTGAAAGGGTGAAAGGAGTGGGGGTGGTTTTGTATATTGAAAATTCTGGAGAGCTCAGAGATTTCAGCATCTCGCTACGGACCCTGATTTTGGGAGTTCGATGCCCCGCTCCGCCTCCTGCGAAGTAAAACCAGCCCGGGTGGCCTTGGGCCAGCTGCACCGTCCCAGGGTGCCTCCAGAAGAAGAAGAAGAAGGGAAGGATAAACCTGAATACTCTACTCGGAACAGGGGCGCCTTAAGTCAGAATTGATTGATAGCACAAAATTATTATTAATCTCTTTTTAAATCTCTGGCAGCCAACCTGTGATCCTCGAAATGTTACCGTTTCTGAAAGAAAGTAGCTCTTTTAATTGTCTCTCTCTATGTTAGAAAGGGGGGGGTTATAAAGGCAATCTATTGTAGCTCTTTGACGAGGATCACTTTTATTTCAGCGCAAGTTTTTGTGGATCAAAAACCACTTCATTCCACAAATGTTCACACTGAAACAAAAGGATTAGTCCTCAAAGTGCTTGTCTCCCCACCCCCACCCCCTTTTTCTTTTGCCAATCATGACTTATACGGGAATCGGAATCCCCAAACCTTGTAGACCACGCAGAGACCTCGTTGCCCCTTGAGATTCTCCACTAAAAGAAGAAGTTACCCAACACCTCGAGGGTGTGTGTGTGTGTGTGTGCAAAAGAACACTGTGGGCTCTGCAGTACAGTACTTGTTACTCAATGGCTGGAGAGATCCTGATCACCTGCTTTACAGAGGCATCGGAGTTTAGAAGTCCATGGGGTCACGAAGAGTCGGACACGACTAAACGACTGAACACACACACGCTTGTCTTATTTGTTTATGCCCTTCGAGGTGTGCGCTTGTGATTTCTGCCCAGCTCCTATAAAGGGAGAAGCCACGGGAAAGTCTCCGCTAAGCTCACTTGCACTTTGATTGCTATACCAGAGGAAGCAGAATGGCGGCTGCAGGGGTGGTCCTACCATCAGGCTGAATGCGGCAACTGCCTCAGATGCCGCCGCTGCATCCTGACTGTTCTCCCAGATCCCCCACAGCACTTCGCCTCCTTTCAAAGACCAAGCAACTTGTGCTACGCCATCTATTTTGCCTTCCCTAAAGTGGCCTCCCCTTTGCTTTGGTAAAAGTTGCCACCCTGTTGCCAGTGTTAAAGAAAGATCCATGGGACAGGCCAGTCAGTTTCCATACATGGAATGGAGAGCAGGGTACCATTCTGTCCTTCGTCTCAGGAAGCAAAATATCTCAGGCTAGCCCTTGCAGGCTATGACTTACAGATTCCCTGCAATGATCAGAGGGGATTTATTCCCCAATAGATGAAGGATAAGAAAAGCAGCACAAAAACATAACATCCATATGGCACCCTTATAAGAACTGGGGTACAGATGGCAAGGGGGTTGGACGACATCCAACAGGAATAGTTCCAATCAGGATTCAAGTGGTATAGCAAGACAGGTCGCAGAGCTGCCTTCCTGCGCTTGATTCATTCATTCATTCATTCATTCATTCATTCATTCATTCATTCATTCATTCATTCGACTTTTATCCCACCCATCTAGTGGCATACCACTACTCTGGGTGACTTACATGCATGAAGCATAAACACAGAAAGAGCCAAAACCCTACCAGACAAATCTCTCATCAAAGAAAGAACCCGTCCCCCAGCAGTCAGAAAATAAATGAAAATATAACAACATAATAAGATGTCATATGGGAAGGATATCTTGAAAAGATTCTCTGAAAATATGTGCTTTAATTGATTTTCCAAGTGCTGGGAGGGAAGGAGCCTGGCAGACCTCCACCGGCAGGGCATTTCATAATGTAGGAGCCACCACCAAGAAGGCCTGCTTCCTAGTTGTTGATTTCTGGGCCTTCCTGGGGGGGGGGCTGGCCCACAGAATCATAGCACTAGCAGCCACCACCAAGAAGGCCTGGTTCCTAGTTGTTGATTTCTGGCCCTTCCGGGGGGGGGCGGTAGGAAAGAAAGGCAAGTGGTAGCCTTTTGTCTCCGTAAGACACAGCCTGGCTAGTGACTCAACTCTTAGATGTAAGGGGAAGATGCTGGAAGTACTGAGTAGTCAGGACACCTTATGGCCCTTTGTTTTCTTCCATTCGTGTTCATGAGCAGCAGTATGGTTTACAGAAGGAAAGTATGATGAGACAATGAGGTAAATAAGAATGTCAGAATAAGGCCAACCTAGGGCAAGTTCCAAGTTTGGTCCTACTCTGTATTTACAAGAGTAGGGCCAAGACATGATGCTCCTTGAGGCAAAGGGCAAACTAAGCCAGCGTCCAAGGGTAGCCAGCAGACTGACATCCTATTTTAACCTTGGTGGCAGGACATGTAGCAAGAGACTAGCACAAGGACCGCAGAGCAGGCGGCACAGGGCGCACACAGCTCTGACCTGCCAAGTTGGGGAGCAGCTATAGAAGGACACATAGCTCACCACCTGCCAGGAAATGTGGCTGCATTAGCCTGCCTGTTCTTCACAGCTAAGGGTCATGAGCCATAGAAAGGCATCTTCTAAAATAATGCTACTGTTGGCATCTCTCTCTCACACCCAGTGACAGAAACACCCTGGTCTTTCTTTGAAGGGGAATGGTGTGTTTACAGTAGAATTGGAAATGCAGACTGACTGTTGGTGGAAGAAATACAACAGAGAGGAGAAAGTGGGGTTTTTTTTTAACCGCCTCAGCAAAAGCCATACCAGATCTCCTGTCTATGCTGAAAGCAAGGCCAGTCTTGCTCCCTTCGCTCATACCTGGGGTTTCAGTAAAGATTAAATGCTGGTACCCACGCGGGGCTGCTCTTCACCAGCTTTTACAGCAGTGGTGAGAAAACATGTGCTCTCCTCATGTTGTTGGACTGCAACTTCCATTATCCTTCAATAGCACAGAAATAGTTAGGGGTGATAGGACCTGCAACCCAACCACATGAGGTAGGCCACAAGTTACCCTGTACTGATTGCAACGCCCACATATTGGCTTCAGAGGCTGGGAGTTGCAGATGAATGTTCCCAGAGGGCACCAGCTTTAACAAAGTTGGCATTACACACAGGGCAAGTAGGGAGTGTCTGGCAGAATAAGAATCTCCCTGAGCCTGGTACATACTTCACTGTTCAGGCAACACATCCACTCGGCCTTCCTCAGTGGGATTTGGAGAGCCCACAAATTTTGCTTTGAGGGACCAAAACTCCTGGGGCCTGGGCTAGCCGGCATCTCTAGGAGTTGGCCCGCAAAAGGTATTTTCCCTTGCTTTGGAAAAATCGCCACGTTGCTGGGCGCACAAGATTTTCCAAAATAAAAATAAATGGCCTGTAGTCACTTTGTGCAGCAAGAGGACCAAACAACCAGGGGGAAAAAATTAAATGCGTGTAATATGAAATATAAATAGAATCATCTAAAGTGGCTTTAGATCAGGACTTGCTCATCCTCAACCTTCTCTCTGCAACCTGGTGATAATCATCATGATTTATCTTACAGAGGTACTGTAAGGATTATAACAAGATAAAGTGTGTGCGTTCAGGCACGATTGCTGCATAAAATGCTCCTTCTGTGTCTTGCTTTACCACCACTTCTCCTGCATTACACTGACTCCCTTCACTTGCAGTTGTTCCCTTGTGAGGGCCACTTTAAGCAACTGCTTTCTGTTTTCATATCTTTGGTCTCCCTCCTCTTTTCCTTTTCTATTTTTCCCTTCTGCTCACCTCCACTTTACATGGGTTGACTTTTCCTTCCTGCTGCCCTTCTTCTTTGCAATCTACTACTGCTGAGTTCTCCCTATAATTATTTAAGGAGATAATCCTGCACCCACTTACCTGAGAATGAACCCTGCTAAACACAGCTGAGGTTTAACTTTTGATGAAGCCTGCCTGTATAGGATTGCATTTTAAAGTGCATTTGAAAATGTTCCTCTTACCTGGACCCTCTTGGCCTCCATTCTCTGTCTTTCAGTGCCACTACACTGGAAAGCTGAATTGGAAATATTTGTCTTTGCTGCAATTTGATTTGCAATGTGCATTATGTTAAAAATCACAATCAGTGTTCACTCAGGGGCTGCGGATTGATTCAGGACTTCACCCTTCATACTGAATGCAATCCAAATCTCATTTCACAGTCTCCCTTCTTTCCTTCCTTCCTTCCTTCCTTCCTTCCTCTGCCAGCCTCTGCCAGCCTTTTTATGGTTTCTGTGAAGTTGCTTTCTCATTTAAAGCTTTCCACTACTAAAACCTTTCTGTGGAAAAACATGGGAAAGTCTTTGAAGATTCTCAGTCATCCAGGTGAGGTTATCTGGAAGCTGAATCATGGCAACTGGACTTCCTTCTTGTTAGGTTGAAACGTTTCGCTACTCTTCCAAGTAGCTTCTTCAGTCTGGGATCTCCTCCTAAGACTGAAGAAGCTACTTGGATGAGTAGCAAAACATTTCAACCTGACAAGAAAGAAGCCCAGTTGCCTTGACTCAAATTCCAGGTAACATCAGAAACCATTTCACAGTCTCATAATACAGAACATCCCAAGTCTGGACTGTAATTTTGCAAAATACATCATGGTTTTTCATGACATATGGTTTTCACCTAGTTTATGTCTCCAGATATCAGTAATTCATGCATGAGTTAATTGAAAGTAAAGGAAAGGAGTAGTTGATGGGTGATGGGAAGTGGTGATTTCATATGGAATAATTCTGAGTTGTGAATTATGATATATTTTGCAAATTTACTGTTCAAATTTTTGATATGTATTTTGAGCCTGGGAAGTACTTTTCTATGTTGTTTTTCTTTAGAAAAGTTTTTTTTTCAGAAATGTAGTAG